TCTCCAGGCATATATAAAACATACATATTAATGCAGCTCTGTGTTCATTAAGCATCATTAAATTTTTTTATTTTTCAAAAAGAAATTAGTGGAAATACCTGAATTTTAAATTGTATCAGCCTTGTCCATGTACAGCAGAGCTCAGAACGGTGGAGAGAGAAGCCGCCTAAAGGAACCAATCAGAAGAGCTCTTATGCACACAAAGGGACATATCGACAGGAGGAGAGAGCAGAGTGACAGAGAGATAAGCTCACCAGTCTGCTGATTCTGCCCATTTAGGAGGGACAAGACATGTTACTTAAAGTGGAACTTCACTCTCTCAATCAACATTGACTATTTGTAATCCTTATGCTGCTAGCATTAGTAAATAGATTGGATAGTATATCATATTCACTTGTTTTAAACTTTTTTTTTTTTTTTTTTTAATATTTCTTCAGTTACTTCCTGGTTTCCATGTCTAGGCAAATGATGTCATACATCCCAGGAGTCTTTATGAGGGGGGAGAGAGAGTTCTCAGCTCAGCCAACGCCTGAGCTAAGGGCAGGTGGATTCCAGGAAGTAAATACTACATGAATCATCTGCCCTTACTCAAGATGGCCACTGCCAGACTTGCCAGGGGGTGTTTTTCAAAATGATTTCTTACCAAAATAAAGCATGGAGACATGGATGGATGGGTGAGTTTGCTTTGAATTTTAACAATGAGTTAAATAGCATTTTTGGTTTGTGGTGCTCAGATACAGTGAAGTTCCACTTTAACTACAGCACAGAAAAATTAGGTCCTTCCAGACAGGGCTATGCTATGTGGCAAAGCTATGGATGAACATAAATACAGACATATTTTACAGGTAAGCTGTTTGCCTGGAGCTCAGCTTTGAAAGAGGTGCTTTGGAAGTTATGGGACACACCTAGAGCCAAATTGAATGATTACAATTATTCATGTTTCATGCTGTGTTTTTCATTTTGTGTTTTGCATTTAGGACTAAGCAGTGATTGATGCAGGATCAAATGAAATAAAAAACAGCCCATTGCTTTCATGCCCACATAAATGAATAGCAAAAATGTGCTATTAATAGTAGGGCTGTTTGATGACTATAGTTTGATGGATGTAGTGACACATATGTGCACTTTCTCATTCCCATGAAACATGCTTAAAGTGTAAGTTCACCTTTTCACAAAAAATGAACACCCTCCCTGTCCCTGCCCCCGCTACACTTACCTTCATGGGTGATTAGCTGTCACTGTCCATGCAGCTGGGGCAGCGATCCAAGCATTTGAAAGCCACACCCTTCTTCTTTCCTTAGACTGGCCATACACTATACAATTTTTTGCCCAATTTTGTGGTGCAAGGGCCTGCCTAAATTGGATACAATTGAAAGTGTTGTTTAGGTTTGACCTCATATTATATGGTTTTTGGTAAATCTAAAGCAAATTTCCCAAGAAAATTGTGGAATGTATGGCCAGCCTTACTGCTTCGGGGACATATCAGAGAGATCACGGTCATGTGCTTTGCAACCAAACCTATAGCTCTGCAATTAGCAAACCTCATGCTCCCTGCTGATTGAATAGCTCTAGTTCTGAGTGCTTCCACACAGGGAACAAGGGCCCTTAGCTTCAGCACTGTCAGGGGACAGGCTTTCCTACTCAAGTTTGTGGCTGCATTAAAATACTGTAAGACTTTACATATCTATTATTTTAATGCACCTGGAATGTATTTAGCAGATCTACATTGAAAGTTTAGTTGGGTTTCAGAACATTTCTAGAATTCATTAGATATTCAGAAAGTTCCACATAACAACTTTGCATTAAAATCAAGTCAAGTGAGTTTCCAGTAGAATGTTGAATGGGATGATGCTTGGATCCCTCCCTCCCTGTGCTAGCCCTGTCATCTGTGCCAGTGCGCACAAAAACACCAGCATACACAATACCAATGCCCTGATCACCACCATACCACCACCCTGATCACTGCCATAACCCCACACCAGCACCCTGATCACCGCCATACTCCATACCACCACCCTGATCACTGCCATACCCCACACCAGCGCCCTGATCACCACCATACTCCATACCAACACACCGCCATACTCCATACCCAAACACCCTGATCACTGCCATACCCCACACCAGTGCCCTGATCACCCCCATACTCCATACCAACACCTTGATCACTGCCATATGCCATACCAGCATCCTGATCACCGCTATATGCCATACCAGCATCCTGATTAACCCCCATACACTATAGCAGCATTCTGATCACTGTCAAAGCCCATACCAGCTTCCTGATCACTGCCATACCTTATGCTAATGTCCTGATTACCTCCATACCAGCTTCCTGATCACCACTGTACCTCACACCAGCATCCTGATCACTGCCATACTCCATACCAGAGTTCTGATCACCACCATCCCCCATACCAGTGTCCTGATCACCCCTATACTCCATACCAGCATCCTGATCATTGCCATACCAGCATCTTGATCACCGCTATACTTCATTCTAATTTCCTGATCATAACCATACCCCATACCAACATCCTGATCATTGCCATACATCATACAGGCAGCTGGCATTTTAGGGACTCAACTCATTGATTTTCAGATAAATATCCCACAGTTTTTGTTGACTCTATAGCGTTCATACAGACTAAATAATATACACTGTTTTGGGTTATTTTTACCCCCAAAATGTAGCAGAATACATTTTGGCGAAAATGTAAAAAACAAATATTTGCAAAATTTTATAACAAAAACTAAGCAACAAATGATTTTTTTTAAAAAAAACTTCATATTTTAATATTTATATAGCAATAAATAAAAAAACCCAGTGGTGATCAAATACCACCAAAATAAAGCTCAATCTGTCTAAAAAAAATTATAAAAATTTCATATGGGTACAGTGTTGCGTGACTGAGTAATTGTCACTCAAAGTGTGATAGTGTTGAAAGCTGAAAATTGGCCTGGACTGGAAAGGGGTGAAAGTGTCTGGACTTGAAGTGGTTAAACAGAATTTCTACAATGTATACAGCAGCCATTATCAACCAGGGTTTCATGGAACCGTAAAGTGGTTGTAAAAATGTATTCTATGCATGAAGGGTGTAGCGCTACCCCTGCAGGAGCCACTCATGTCTTGCTTAGGCTTTCTAGATTTCCTACCGCAGCCAAGCACACCGCATTTCCTTAGTCAGGTGCACGCAACTTCCGCTCATTACTCCAATGATCAGTATAGGGGTTGTAGTTTTTTTTTTTTTTGGAATTTTTTTCTTTTTTTGTAACTGGGATAGGGAAGGGATATAGTAGGATACTCCAAATCAAACTATGTACAATTGAGGACAGCTTTCGCAAAGTGGAACTGTGTAGCAGACTGTGCAAGAATGGAGCAAAGTCCCTCTGTAGATATGCAGACATAGTGGACAATTGCTCATCTGGACACCTGCTGGAGTCCCCTCTAGCTTTTACTGAGCAGCAGGCTATATAGATCCCGAGGTCCATGTTCCATATAGAATAGTCTGTATTCACAAGGCCCTTGCTGCACGTCACCTTCCTTCGTGATACCAGACAGGATCTATACACATCCCACTCAGTCAGCTCTGAAGCGCCCTGGGTTTCAGCATTCTGGTCTTCGGGTCACTCACCCGAGGCTTCCTGGCAGCATGAGCCAGGGAGGCAGCCGCCTCCCTGGCTGGAACTCCTTTCTTACAGGAGGAGGAAGAACCCAGATCACACGTGCTCACTGAATATAAATACTAGTATCCAGCATTCTCAGGGGCACCACTCCCTGTAATTGGCTGGAACTCCATCCATATTCATGCTGCTGACATGCATGGGTCACTCCTGTTCACCCAGAACCTTCCAAGGTCTCCTGGATAAAGAGAAGCCAATCACAGCAGCAGCACTGTGAGCCTTACAGAATCTCTGACTAAACAATTGTAGCTTTCTGTTAAGCAGAGAAGCTGCTGTTTTACCTATCAGTCTTCTGTTAAACAGGAAACCATACTATACTAAACTAGACTATGTACATCCTAGCAACCTACCTAGGAGGGTGCTACAAAGCTAAAAAACCTTCAGTATACAGCTTCCCAATCCAGTGCTGTGCATGGGAGCTGCTGCTGTCCCGGCTCTTTGCTTCCTCATTGGCCCAGAGACAGCAGCAGGAACCATTGGCTCCTGCTGATGTCAATCACAGCCAGTGGGAAGGGACTAGGGGTGGGGCTGAGCCCCGTGTCTTATGGACACACAGAGCGGGGCTTGGGAGTGGGGCTTGGGAGCGAACACGCAAGAGTGCAACCATAGCGAGCATCTTGCTATGGTGGCACTCAGCAGGGGGGAGTCAACCAGAGTGCAGGAGGGTGACCCAAGAAGAGGAGGATTGAGGCTGCTCTGTGCAAAACCCTTGAACACAGCAGGTAAGTATAAAATGTATTACTTTAAGGTTTCTCTAGAGATTGCTAGGGGTGCCTGCATAGTTCCAGGGCCAGCACCACTTGGAAGAGCCAGCAGCATGCCACCGATGATCTTTTTAGCTGTCTGTAAGGGAGGTATTCTGACCACCACTCTAAGGCTCCATGTACAGGAGCCTACCCTGACAGCCGGCTGTGGGAAAATGCAAATCGTTGCAAAATCGCTGCAGTACCGCGATTTTGCAGCGGTTTTTTCATTTTCCCGCGGTCGACAGTCAAAACGTTCCTATCCTGAACGCGATTCTTCCACTTTCAGGAAAGGAAGGTTTAACCTCACCTAAACGAGGCAGCTCCTAAACTCTGCTAAGAGCCTATGTGTACATGGACACTTTATGGAGTTAAGTTTAGGGGCTGCTCGTGTACATGGGGGTCTAAGGATTTGTGTTTAGTAACAGCTCCCTTAGACTTGCAAATTATTTTGGGGGTTTACTTGAGTTGAAAAGGTTGAGAAAGGCTGGTATACAGTATAGTGTAATTTTTTTACTATCCTTTATTTATGTCTGTTAAGGGGTGGAATCAGCAAAAGGAAAATATGCACAGATGTTATTTCGGGATCTGTTTGAGGAATATTCCAATGCCCTGAGACCAGTGGAAGATACTGACCGAGCATTGAATGTTACCCTGCAAATTACACTTTCTCAGATTAAAGACATTGTGAGTATACTGAATGAAATTAACAATTTTTAACGTTGTATTAGGATGCCCACAGATAACTTTCACCTCTTTCTGGCTATTTGGGGCTGGAATGAAGAATATTTCTATATCTATAGGCCCTCCTCATATGTGGCAGATATTGCTCAGCTTTCTTAGTGGGAAAGTCAATAGACTAGAAATACTCTCTCCCTTAAAGTGTTACTAAACCCACAACAGTAAAATCAGTCTGTATATGAAGTAAAGCATGCTTGTTATACTCACTGTGGAACCTAAGAAGTTAATCATCTGCATTGTGTAAAAATGCTGTTTGATCATGACTTCTCTGATCCTTCCCTTCTTCCAGTGTCCCCCTTTTATCTTCTGATAAGACATATCATGTGGAGACACTCTGCACATGATTAGTTTGGTGTGTATTGCTAGAGAGGTTTTTTTTTCTTGGAAGAGTGCATGTGATTAGCACAGGGCCAATCAGCACTGTCCAGACAGAGGTAAGTGGTTCTGCATCCTTCTACAGCAGAATGAAAACTCCTCCTACAAGCTTTAACCAGTGCTCTGCTGGACACTGATAGAAGTCACAAGACTGCTCTAACTGCTGATGATAAAAATGTATTTAGCAGTTTATATTTACTAAAATAATTTAATTTCCATGTTCTGTGTACTGTGGGAGACCAGATATAGTGAATGCAGGGTCCTGGGTTTAGTAACACTTTAGGGTACAAGCTCATTTGCCTCATGAGATCATACACATTTGCACTAACCTTTTATAAAGCTGATCTTTTATTAAGACAATAATTTGACAGCAGGATCGTGTCTGATCTGGAGATTGGATCATGAGGCATGTGACATCTGGGGAATGGGTTTACGTTAGTGACACTATATAGATTTACCCCTCTAATACTTGGGTGCAACTCTACATCCAAACTCCTATACCTGTTTTAATACCCCTGCTACGGGAAGCTGCACAGGTCAAACACCCCACAGGGCATTAACCCTACAATACCCATCTGTTAACCCATAAACAACAATCACAAGTAACATTTTAGGTACCTGCCTACACTCCCCCCAAACCTAAACATAGTATGCCCTTGTACTATAAACAATAAAAAGGCTGCCAGTCACTACAATGAAACATTTCTGGACATTTTGAAGCCATGAGGAAAAAAAAATGTTTTCCCTGTTGTTTTCTGGGAAAAATTGAAAAACAATCAGTGTGGAGTAGTTTTTACAAATTGAACGTCATTTTGTTACACTGGGAAGGTGAAAATGCAGTGTATATAAATGTATTATGCTTGAAATAAAAGTACAGCTTATTCACTAAATTAACAAAACTGGCTTTTTTTAAATGGTATTTTTTTTTTTTACAAATGGAATATCAAGGACTGTATGCATAAAGAACATTTCAACTATACATGAGATTAGGTAAACACACCCCTTTTCTTCATATTAATTTAAAAGCTTCCTGCCAATATGTATTTTCAGTTATTGACAATGCTGATCCAGAAGCATATATATTGCTCTTTGAAGAGTCTGATCAATGTTCTCCTGATTGTCAGGTGTCATTTTGCCTATAAACAAGGTATTGTATATTTTTGTGAAGTAGTGGTTTGCAACACTTACTTGAAGATACCGCTGGTGAAGAAACACTTTGTGATGTTCTAGAACAGGGGTGGGCAAACTTTTTGACTTGAGGGCCGCAATGGGTTCATATATTGGACCCGGGGGCCGGACCAAGAGTAGATGAATGATGTGTATGTGTCATCCATAGTAAGTATAGTAATATTCCCCCATAGTAAGCATAGTAATTAATCCCCCATATAGTAATTCATCCCCCATAGTAATTCATCCCCCATATAGTAATTCACCCCCCATAGTAATTCATCCCCCATATAGTAATTCATCCCCCCATAGTAATTCATCCCCCATAGTAATTCATCTCCCATATAGTAATTCATCCCCCATAGTAATTCATCCCCCATATAGTAATTCATCCCCCATAGTAATTCATCCCCCATAGTAATTCATCCCCCATAGTAATTCGTCCCCCATATAGTAATTCGTCCCCCATATAGTAATTCATCCCCCATAGTAATTCATCCCCCATATAGTAATTCATCCCCCATAGTAATTCATCCCCCATAGTAATTCATCCCCCATAGTAATTCATCCCCCATATAGTAATTCATCCCCCATATAGTAATTCATCCCCCATATAGTAATTATTCCCCATATAGTAATTCATCCCCCCATAGTAATTCATCCCCCCTATAGTAATTCATCCCCCCTATAGTAATTCATCCCCCATAGTAATTCATCCCCCATATAGTAATTCATCCCCCATAGTAATTCATCCCCCATATAGTAATTCACCCCCATATAGTAATTCATCCCCCATAGTAATTCATCCCCCTATAGTAATTCATCCCCCATAGTAATTCATCCCCCATATAGTAATTCATCCCCCATAGTAATTCATCCCCCATATAGTAATTCATCCCCCCTATAGTAATTCATCCCCCATATTAAGTCCCCAAGTCCCCCCTGTGTCAATTCACTTACCTTTGCTCCGCGCGTTCCTCTCGCCGTGTTCCCGCGCTGTTTCCCGTGTAGCATGAAAATCTGTCTCCTATGAGGATCTGTCCCCCTCGACGTATCTGCGCATGTGCCAGTTTCAGGCATTAGCAGCCGATCGGCGATCTCCGGCACATGCGCAGATACGTCGAGGGGGACAGTTCCTCATAGGAGATAGATTTTCATGCTACACCGGTCTTCAGGGCGGACTGTGAGAGGAGCCTAGCGGGAGCCTAGCTCCGCGGGCCAGATTAAAAGGTCCGCCGGGCCGTATACGGCCCGCGGGCCGTAGTTTGCTCATTGCTGTTCTAGAAGCTACTAGCACTTTCATTATGGTCCTCATCATTTCATTCCAAGTATATTTTAGTGTCTTTAGGGCACCTCTGGCATGCCAGGATGTGTTTTGTCATCCTTGTAGCAATATTTGCAAATTGCAGCTTTGCTCTCAGCAGAAATTGCACTGTGGAAAGTTTTCACAAACTCTTGAGGTTGTTCTCACCATTTTACTGAGAGGAGGAAAAGAAAAAACAAATTTACTGACCAGACTATAGGGAAATATTATGCTGTGATGGTGAACATAGTAGGGTTGCACCGATACTGATACCTTTGAAGTGCGATTTGAGCACATATAAAATGAATAGGCTCAAATCGCACTGCAAACTGCATGTGATTTCAACAGGAATCTGGGTGCGATTCCTGTCCGAATCACATGCGGCTTCCCTATGGGTGTGTTGCGATTTGAGCCATACAAAATTAATGGGTCAAAATGCACTGTAAATCGCACAGGCTTGGCCAGGATCGGCATTTGAGCAGATGACACACACCAGGCTCCCGGTACTAATCCTCCAGTGATCCTTCCCTTGGTGATCCTCGGCTGCTTTGCCTACCATGATTGACTCCCCACAAATCCTGGGATTCCCCCAGTACGATTGGTGAGTGTGTTTGCCCTTATGCTGACCAGGAAAGGTTGAGAAGAGGTGGATGCCTCCAACATCCAAGATGATGCCTAGTCGGCTCTCCCACAACGTGCACCACACCAACCCACAAAGCACCAGGGCAAAGAGGCTCCCAGGGATATGCTGTATTATGCCCAGTGGCTAGCAGGACAGTATGATCCTTCCTCGACGGGGGGGCTGCTCACACAGAGTGACCTGTATCCTCCCACACAGACCTCTTTGAAACAGCACAGGTCTCTGATTCTGGGGAAGGGGGGCTGGATGAAGGGGACACAGAGTAGCCCACCCTTTGTGAGATCCTGAAAGCAGTTAATAAATATGCTGCCTCAGTTGGCAAATCACACTGCACCCACAGGGAAAGCGCATGTGATTCAGAAAGGAATCGCACAACATTCCTGTTCAAATTGCATGTGATTCTTTGCAAATGCAACTTGAGCCCATTCATTTTGTATGGGCTCAAATCACACCGCAAAAGGTATTGGTACTTGGTATCGGTGAGTATTTGATCAATGTATCAGTACTCATACTCGCTGGTAAAAAAAAAAAATTGGTATTGGTGCAACCCTAATTAACAGAAATCCTTTAAAAGGTTATAAAGATAAATTAATTTGTCAGACAAATGTACCCTCTTACTTCTCAATGAAGGCCTGAGAGGACTGAAACGATCATTTTCTGTATCTCAACAATCACCCAACTGAAGATGAGCCCACAAGCAAACTAAACTAACCACGGCACCATCTGCCTGTAGTTTGATTGTTCTCCCTGTGTATACGTGGGTTTCCCTCTGGGTACTCCGGTTTCCTTTCACACTCCAAAGACATGCTGGTAGGATAATTGGATCCTGTCTAAATTGGCCCTAGTATGTGTATGTATGAATGTGAGTTAAGGACCTTAGATTGTACACCCCTTGAGGGTTAGGGACTGGTGTGAATGTACTGTATATATATATATGTAAAAGAGCTGAATAAATTAACGGCGCTATATAAGTACCTGAAATAAAATAAATAAACTAGAGCCTTTCCCCTGCAGTGCCTCCTAGTGGCATAAATGCATACTTCTCTTGTCTGAAAACTGCATTGAGAAGTACAGTGTTACTTGAATTGTATTCCAGGATTTGCTTGTCTTCAGCTGAGAGAATTTGCAATAATTTAAGACTTTACATAAAGTCTCAGAAATCTTTTATTAAGGTCTTCATGTTATCTAGTTTGAATATCAGGTCATAGATACATTATTATTGTAAAAGAACATATTCCACACTTCTTTCATTTCCAATTTTTCTGAAAAAAAACTGGTTTGAAAAAAAAAATAGTTTTTCACAAATTTTCTGTTTTTTTCCCAGACCTTCCCATCTCTCAGTACACACTCACAATAACATAACAGACACAATACTATCAATGTAGAGTAATAGGTGCAAGACTGAAATATGTAATACTTTACAATCCTTTACCTCCAGCAACAGTGCTGGTCACACTGGTCAGAGGCGTTCTTGCTCCGCCACCTGTTGTGGTGGCCCTCCAACACATCCAGTGCCTTGTCGCTGCACTGTGCAAGTGTGGGTTGTTCACCCCAACGTCTCCCAACGTGAATGGCAAGGTGAATTGGACAGCTCAGGCAGAGTATCTGATCCTCCATCCTGGATAGATGACTCCTGTAATGAAGTAATAACAACGGAGATGGCTATGACCTATCCTGCACCATAAAGTCTATGCTCCGCTGTAAAATGGAACTGGGCTAACATGGGTTGCAGATCAATGAGGTTTACTTCAGGACACACAGGAGGCTCTGGAAAAACACTTACTCCAGTGGATTCCCCACACACTGACTTAACCCCTTGCAGCTTGAGGAATTAGCATGCTTGACCAATCTGTTTCGACAGGGGCCAGGGGGATCAAAGGCCGATGTCTCTGATACTTGTGCTGTGACATCCACATAGACTCCAACACAGCCTTGGCATCTCCTTCCTAATTTAAGTTTCTGGGTTCCTCCACTAGGTTAGTGCCTCAAAGTGGAATGTCTGACCACCATGTCCAAGCATCCACCTGACCCTCCGACATTGTGGGCATAAAGGGCGTAGCATCTCTCAGTTTCCATAATGGCACATGGCAAAGTCTTGCGTGGCTCTGAAACAAATGTGGTATCAAGTTCTTTGGGTACCGGCTCCAGTCAGGGTAGCATCTACAGTAACTGCTGATGAAACATGGTGATGTAGCCTCTGGCTTCCCCTTCATGTGTTTTCCAGGACACTTCCACACCAAAGCATTTTATATAGCCCTTCCTGTTGAAAACAGCCAATCACTAGAGATTACATCATCTGATCTGATAGCCATAGATGGATCAAAATTTGGCCTGTCCCTAGTGATCCAGATTAATTTCGATCCATTTAATGGCCAGCTTTAGATGCAACACTACTTTCCTCTGTGTATGGTTCTTCTTACTCCCACAAACAGTCTCTAAACTTCTCTGGCCCAACCTCTATCAGCTTAAATACACCTGCTATGAGAAGCCACACAGGACAAAATGATACACACACTACAGCACAGGAGCCTTACAATACCCAGGTGATAACCCATAAACAATAATCTCCATTAACATTTTAGGCACCTGCCTACAAACATAAGAGAACCTTTGCCCAATTAGGCTGCAAACATATTTCTGTATGCTTCCCCTCATGCCTCCTTCCCTAGTCTGCTCTCACTGTCAATGGCTGGGATGGATTTTACCCCAAGATGTCCAGTACCTGCAGTGATATCCCTTCACTCTACTTAGGCACAGGCAAATAAAGCAAAACTTCTCAATATGAATGATTGTTCTGTCATCTGAAGTTGCAGACTAACTTATCAGATGTTTTCTATCCAGATGCAACTCTACTCTTCTTTCTTACTTAAGGCAAACTGTAGCCTTGAAGTTTTTTTCAGATATACTTGTGAAAGAGATCTACTTAATATCATCAGTATTATCTAAGCATCTTGTGCTTAAGTAGTTGTAAGCCCTTACATATACCCAGTTTAATCACTGGCCTCAGATGATACACAGAGATTTAAAAAACCCTCCTACAGAAGTTGTGCCTATTTATCTGCAGTCTTCTCCTCTCTATATTAATTCAAAGTCCAGACTTTACAAAGCTTGTCTGAGCTGTCAGAAAAAAATGGGCCAAGAGATGAAATTATGCACTACAGAGCTTAGTGAGGATAACTATGAGAGCTGATTGGAGGGAAGGGACACGTCCTTCTCACACAGCTCACAAGAATACAGTTGAGGCTGTCAATCTGTTGGAGCTGCCTCCCCTGTCACCTTTTATCTCTTGTGGCAGAACAACTTGTCAGAAGTGACTCATAAAGATAGCAGTAGACTGCAGCAGAAATTACACTTAATTCTCTGGATAGGGACCAGTACACATTATAGAGGGATATGCTTTGTTCATATTTCTGAGGTTTACAACCACATTAAAACCTTTCTTCTGTTCTTAATTATCTATGAACATGGGGCAGATATTTAAAGTGTTACTAAACCCACAGCAGTAAAATCAGTCTGTATATGAAGGAAAGCATGCTTGATATACTCACTGTGGAACCTAAGGGGTTAATCCTCTGCATTGTGTAAAAATGCTGTTTGATCCTGACTGCTCCAGACAGAGGTCAGGAGTTCTGCATCCTCCTGGAGCAGAAAGAAAACTCCTCCTACAAGCTTTAACCAGTGCTTGGCTGGACACTGATAGAAGTCATAAGACTGTTCTATCTGCTGCTGAGAAAAGGTATTTAGTAGTATATATTTACTAAAGTAATTACAATTCCATGTTCTGTGTACTGTGAGAGACCAGATATAGTGAATGCAGGGTCCTGGGTTTAGTAACACTTTAATCCTATTTTCGTACTGCTGATCTAAAGCATTATACTTTCTAGTTTTGCCTAGACTGGAAGCTAGGGTGATTTTGATTTATAAATTTGTAACTTTAAATGTTAATTAAAATTCCTTTTTTTACAGGATGAAAGGAATCAGATATTGACAGCATACTTGTGGATTAGGCAAAGCTGGTATGATGCATACCTGACGTGGAACAAAGATGACTATGATGGTCTAGATTCTATCCGTATCCCAAGCAACATGGTATGGAGACCAGATATTGTGCTCTATAACAAGTAGGTAGAAAGGTCTGAGAAACTACATACCTTTTTTTTCTTTGGTTGCAGTATATTGTTATTATGCTGGCAAAGCTGACACTTTTTTATAGAAAAAAATGTGCAAAAAGTATATGATTTGGATAGAGGAAATCAATGTCCTACGCTGTTGACAGTTTGTGTAATATAACTGTGTATTACCAACATTACAAACATGGGCTTCTGTATGTAAAAATGATACTAAAGCAGATTAAACAATTATCAGGATGTTGGTAAATGTATCTATAAGCCACTGGCAAGTCAAATGAATGTATGTGTCAGCCAGTTGAGTGCTATACGAATATCTGGAAAATGGCTTACCTTCGCTAATTAACATACCTTTGCAATGTGAATATTTTGTACCAATTTAGTAAACCATTCCCATTGTGTCCAGCCTTGCATTGCACCAGACAAAAGGTAATTTCCAGAAGCATAACTATAGCCATAGCAGCCAACGTGGGGATTGGAGGGTGACTCAATATGGAGGATGCATAGGAACTCAGTGTACATCTAAAGGTAACACGCATTCAGTACTGTATCATTATCCCTCATCTTCTGAAGTCTCCATTCTAGAAGAGCTGATTGTCAGATGCACAGGACCATGCAAGTCACAGATCTTCTTTCCTCCCATCTGAGAGTAGATTTATTGACTTCAAATCTTCATTTCACCCTGGCCAGTTTTCTGATATTAAATGACATTGTAACAGCAATACAAAGAGTAGTTATTGACAATCCAATGCGAAGTTACTTAAAAGTCCCCTTTCTTGTTGCGAGTGCTGCTTGTCTGCTCCAACATGGCCTGAAGAAGGAGCACATGCTCCACAACGCGTCGCCATCTTTGATCGTCAGTTCCAGTTGTTGACATCACTTCCGCCCTTCGTGCTGCATTCCACGATGACCAGGAACCATTACTGGTGACCATCCCTATTGCTACATATACCTAAGATCATTCCTCTTTTGTGAGTGCTATTGTTATTTGTTTATTAAATTGGTTTTTATAATACTACACCCAGATGGCGCTTGTTTTTTCCCTTCCTTGTCCGCTGGCCTTCTTATTCCATATCTTCCTGGATTCCCAGCATGCTTTGCGGTTTCCCCTATGCTGTTTTCTTTCAATTGTCTAAGGACTACATATCCCATGGTATCTTGGTGCCTGTAAACTGTGATTCCTGTACTGACTCCGCCTCCTGAAACTCCTCCTCTCAGCACCTCTGTAGTCACGAAGGCAGGCTCTGTGAATTCTGTGACAGCAGTACCTATACCTATTATACAGGATTGATATAGCGTCAGTTTTCTCAACAGAGACAATACAGCAACGATACAATTTAATACACGGGGCTAGGAGGGCTCTGCTCCTCGGAGTTTGCTGTCTAATACACATGGTATAGTGCAGGGGTCTGCAACCTTTAAGACATAAAGAGCCACTTGGACCCATTTCCGAGAGGGAAAAAAAGACTGGGAGCCGCAAAACCATTGCAACATTTAAAACAAATCCGACACTGCATATATTGCAAAAAACGCTCTGGTCATGAAGGGGGTTTAAGGGCCCAGTAAGCAAAGGGTTAATCAGGGCCACAGTGTATAGTCATAATCACAATCATAGCCTTAGGTCAGTGGTGGGCAACCTTTTTTTTCGACTGAGCCAAATCTCGCCAAAACCACGATTGAAATTTATTTTGAGAGAAACATTTTTAAAACTGAAAATACATCCCCCATATAGTAATTCATCCCCCATATAGTAATTCATCCCCCATAGTAATTCATCCCCCATAGTAATTCATCCCCCATATAGTAATTCATCCCCCATAGTAATTCATCCCCCCTATAGTAATTCATCCCCCCTATAGTAATTCATCCCCCATATAGTAATTCATCCCCCATATAGTAATTCATCCCCCGTAGTAATTCATTCATCCCCCATAGTAATTCATCCCCCTATAGTAATTCATCCCCCCTATAGTAATTCATCCCCCTATAGTAATTCATCCCCCCTATAGTAATTCATCCACCCTATAGTAATTCATCCCCCCTATAGTAATTCATCCCCCATATAGTAATTCATCCCCCTATAGTAATTCATCCCCCATAGTAATTCATCCCCCATAGTAATTCATCCCCCATAGTAATTCATCCCATATAGTAATTCATCCCTCATATAGTAATTCATCCCTCATATAGTAATTCATCTCCCCTGTAGTAATTCATCCCCCCTGTAGTAATTCATCCCCCCTATAGTAATTCATCCCCCCTATAGTAATTCATCCCCCCTATAGTAATTCATCCCCATAGTAATTCATTCCCCATAGTAATTCATTCCCCATATTGTGTGAATTCACTTACCTTTGCTCCGCGCGTTCCTCTCGCTGGGTTCCCGCGCCGTTCTGGTCTTCAGGGCGGACTGTGAGAGGAAGGAGTTCGTCACGCTGCCCCGCCTACATCCGGGCTGCCCCGCCTACATCCTGACAGCCAATGTTTGCCAGCGGGCGCCCGGCACACAGAAGATCTACATTAAAAGAGCCGCGGCTTGCCGACCCTATTGCCTGTCACCTGGTGGGCAGTGTGCTCCGGAGCCGCAGGAAAGGTGAAAAAGAGCCGCATGCGGCTCCGGAGCTGCGGGTTGCCGACACCCGGTATAGTGAATATGTGCAGTTTTCAAGGATCTAAATGCGTGGAATTTATATGTAAAGTAAGTTTACACACTTCAAGATCATCGAGATTAAAAGGAGTAGGCTACACATAATTGAAATATACAAACGAATATATTATTTTACATTTTGACCAGAGATTAAACCCTGTATGCCTACAAGGCCTTTCAGAGGCTGATCAATCCAAGAGTATCTTCTAATGTAAAAAGTCATTTAAGGTCATATTTATCACTATATCATACTTATGTTTTTCTTATGTGTTTTTGTAAGAGTTCGGTACTATAAGCTGTAGAGCTATATTTTATGTTACCTTATACCATATCTGCTTAGTTCATTCCATAGCACAATGGTGACTCTCCGAACATTTTACCTCCCGTTAATTTTTTTCAATGCTTTCAATTCTCAGGGCAGATGATGAATTTTCAGAACCCGCAAATACAAATGTTGTTCTGCGTTATGATGGCAAGATCACATGGGATTCCCCAGCTATCACCAAGAGCTCCTGTGTTGTGGATGTCTCCTATTTTCCATTTGATAAGCAGCAATGTAATCTAACCTTTGGTTCCTGGACCTACAATGGTAATCAGGTGGATATAATAAATGCTATGGACACAGGAGATCTGTCGGATTTTGTGGAAAATGTGGAATGGGAAATGCAAGGCATGCCGGCAGTGAAGAATGTCATTACATACGGCTGCTGCTCCGAGCCGTACCCTGATATCACCTTCACTCTGATTCTCAAGAGGAGATCTTCTTTCTACATTTTCAACTTGCTAATCCCGTGTGTGATGATATCCTTCCTGGCTCCATTAGGATTCTACCTCCCTGCAGACTCTGGGGAAAAAGTATCTCTGGGAGTCACTGTACTCTTGGCTCTGACTGTCTTTCAATTGATGGTAGCAGAAAGCATGCCTCCTTCTGAAAGTGTGCCATTAATAGGTAAGTATGTTTCTGTCCGCACATAGATAATAAAAAATAGCATAAAGGATATGTATAGGACTCTGGTGTATGAATTCCACATAATCCTGCTCTTGGAAGGGCCTCCACAATGCGACTCCTGCTGTGGGTGACACCACTACTTTTTAAAGCTGCTGATGCCTTGTCTTACAAATACCTGTCCCATAAACTGTAACTTGACAACTATTGAAACACTGAGGGCCGGGTCACAGTATAGAAACGCAGTCAAGATGCGGTTTTGCATGCCCGTTTTTGACACGTTCAGTGCATTTTTCATGTATTCCAGTTCATTTTTTCCTCTCTTTTTTTCTTCAATTTAAATAGGGACATGTGAATTCCAGTGCGGTTTTTGGTGCATTCCAGTGCTTTTATGATGCGTTTTACCGCATTCAGTACAGTTCTGTGCAGAAAAAATGCAGCATGATCTACTTTTTTTTCTGCAACTGGAACGCACTGGAACTGCAAGTACTGAAGTGAACTATGACATTGACAACCATCTAAGCTATGTTTTGTGCATTTTGGATGCAGAAAAAAAGCAACTGAAACACATGTAGTGTGAACTGGCCCTGAAAGAAGAAATCCATCCAAAACGTTTTTTCTAGTTCTGGAAACATTGAGAAGAGTTAGAGCCACGGTCAGGTTTTTTATTGCTTGTTTTCTCTGTATTGGGGAGAGCCACCCTGGTTACCACTGTGAACAGGACAAAAAGTGAAAGTAATTAAAAAATGTTGGAACTTGCACCAGAACAGAAGTATAATAATAAATGACTTAAAGGATAAGTTCACCTTTGGGAACATGTTACATGGTCCGCCTGTTTTTAGGGTGGAACATGTAACATGTTCCCATAGCTGCAGCAGCCCCCTCCCCCTATGACAGATAGTACAGGGAAACTTCTCCCCATACTATCTGTCAGATTTGGATACGGTGCATCTGCCTCACTCATTCGCGGACTTCTGTGACTGATTGCACTGCAAGTCCCAAAAGCCTTAGCGGCTATCGGCTCGTAGTTTTCAATAAACTACCACAGCGCTGTGGAGCGCCGTGTTAGTTCATTGAAGCTTCCTGTCAGTATATCTGCTTGCTTGTATATGCAATACAGCAAGCAGATATTCTGACAGGTCTGCAGGAGACCTGCATGGCATCAATGATCTACTTAACATTGGTTCAATGCTTTCCAGGCTCCTTTAGACAAAAATAATATATGTATTTTTTTTTTACCTGCAAAAGAATGTGCATTTATTATTTTTGTCCAAAAAGTGAACTTATCCTTCAACAGTACTGGCTGTCATATTAAAGGCTTTGGACATATTTTTTATATCCTTTTTCTCAGGTCTTTTGACAGCTCTTTTGTGATCCCCATGGCTCAGTGTTTAACCCGCTCAGTGCATCCACATGAGAGCTAACAAACTCATTGACTATTTATATACAGACACCAATTTAAAAGCCACAGATGTGGGAAATTAATCTTTAATTGCCTTTTTAACCTGTGTTTGTCACCTTGCGTGTGTGTACCAAGGCCAAACATTTCAGGGTTTGTAAAGTTTTGATCAGTGCCATTTGGGTGATTTCTGTTATCTTTATGATTTAAAAAGGAGTCAAACTACTTTGTGATAATAAATGGCTTCATATGATCACTATCCTTATATAAAAAACATTTTTTTGGCATGATCAGTCATATTTTCATTATCAATGCCAAAATTTTATGATTTCTTCCAGAGTATGCAAACGTTTGAACACACCTGTATATGAAGATTATAAATAATATAGTAAATAAATAATACCTGATTAGAGCAAGAAGGCTGTGACTATATAAAAACACATGACAGGGCTATGGGCTAGGAGTATGACAGCCTCTGCATTAGGGCCCAGTGGAACCTGCAACACCTTTATTAAGTGTTCTTGCATGGCAAGACCACTTACTGTTATCTCACATATATATTCTTATTATTATAGCCAAATTTACCACCCTAACTCCTCCCACATTTTTTACACTACATAGACAGTAATATACCGAAACGTGCAGATTGTTCCCGATTGGTGTGCTATTACTTTGTGGAATGTTTCACCGAATGGTTCACGAAATATCAGCGTTTTTGTGGTGAAATTGGTCCCATAGGAATGAATGGCGGAATGTTCAAAACTAGAGTGGGAGCTGACAAAAGCTAGAGTGTGAGCTGAAAAATCAGGACATGATTTCTAAACTGCCACCACTCCCTCATTTTCAAGCCCACCTACACAAATCTTATATCAAAATGTTCATCTATCCCTGCTGCCACTAAAAATGTCCACGGCTAAGCCATAGTCCTGATAGTTTTTCACAATATGACCATTTGTTTGCAACTCACGCCACCCATTGACATTCATTGAAACTCCACTCTAGCCACCTCAAATTTGAAGGCCAATTTCTAAATTGCGACTGTGCCTTTTTAATATTTCAGAGACCTACTATGCATCAAAATGTAGGTCTGGGTCTTGTGATTCTCACAATATAAAGCTCTTCGGTGTAGGATTTAAAATTTTTAAACTACAGCCGTTTTAAGAAGGCAACCGCCAGTGAAGTGAGCAAGTTGGATCAGTTTGTTTTTAACCGCTCTTCTCTGCCCTTGCTGTAGAGTGAGTTGCCATAGGAACAGTTACTCCAGCCACTCCAACCACACAACAGTTACTCAAGCCACTCCACCCAGTTACTCCGCCCACTCTAGTTGTAGACTACTGGTGGAGGCAAGAACACTACACACAATTTCCCCAGAAATTGTAGCTTTTCTAGTTACTTAACTGAAGTCTTACCTTTGCATAGCGACTGTTATAAAGTGATTGGTCCAGCCATATACTGTATGATAACACCTAATTTTCTTCTCACATAGCTGTCCTGGAAGATGATTAAGGAAATTCAGGAAAAAAAGTTGATTTCAGAATAAGCATTAAGCAAACACATGAACATATTGTAGAAATGTTTTATGTATGTGTTACATAAAACATATTTATATACACAGAATAAGTCTAATTGCATATTTATATTTTATAGGTATGTTATGAAATTACATCATACTACGTATCTACATCATAAATACTGTATATTTTACTGTTTTTATCTACTTTAGGTAAGTACTATATAGCGACAATGACAATGGTTACAGCCTCAACAGCGCTGACTATCATCATTATGAACATTCACCTATGTGGGGCAGAAGCAAAGCCCATCCCTCACTGGGCGAGGGTTGTCATACTTGACTACATGTCCAAGATATTTTTTGTTTATGATGTGGGAGAAAACTGCACCAGTTCCCAGGAAGAAAGTGACACTATTTCACAGGACAGTGTTCATTCCTATGATGACTATAAAAAGGAACAGGATTTTCATGACACTTTAAAGCATCCACTCTCTGAGGCAGGTGACTTTTTCTGTGACATGGACATCCATGCTAACCTAAATGGCCAAGGTGCTGGGGACAAGGCAGGTCAGTGTAACATCCCCCATCATCTTTACTGTCATCATTGCATCCATTACAGACTTCTGGCAAGTAACATTGAATACATCACTAACTGGTACCGTGAGCAGAAATCCATCAGCCTTAAAGGAATTGAGTGGAAGAAAGTGGCCAAGGTGATGGACCGCTTCTTTATGTGGGTCTTCTTTACCATGGTCTTTTTTATGAGTATTTTAATTATTGCAAAAGCTGTGTAGTGTGAGGTATGTTTGGTCACTATTGAGTAGCTGAACAGCTTACAGATATGTTGACTTTTTTCTTTTGATGGAAGTGGAAATTCACTTAACCTTGACCCACATGTTTGTTTCAGTGCAGTGATATTGGCCTTTTTTTCCAGTTTGACCTACAATTAGTATGTGGGCCTTGAGTCAAAGAATGCAGTTTATGTCAGAGGCCTTCAAAGAAGACCTTTGCTTCATGATAGACTTCATTTAAAGCAGAAACTTAGACTAATCTGAAGCTGATTTAGTCACACCTTTCCCAAGTGCTGCTAAAATCTGTGTACTGCTTACCTAGCAGAAGGTCCAGGTTCTCTCCACCTGTTCACAGCTATGGCAGCAGCAGGACATCTGTCCTTGATCAAAGGACAGTTTATGTGTTCATGCAAAACCACTGATTGACTAACTCTACCTGTACTCAGATAAGTAAACAAATGCAGAATTTGTTGCTCCCGAGGTAGTATAAACTTTACTTGCATGTGGTCATTGAAATTTTCTGTTTGTTTGGAATGTCCCTCTGTGCCCCCCCCCCCCCGCACCGTGTTCCTAAAGGTCCAATCTTAATACACTTTGCCTGCTTTACAATGATGCCAGTCAAGTTCTAGTCAGTTGGAAGACTCAAATGATGTTTACCTGCAAAAAATAATTAAAAAGAAACATCTTCTGTATCTCTCCAGGCTGCATTAAACTACATTGGATTCTACTTCTGCGTCGTCTTAGCGAATTCAACCACCTGGTGATTTTATTATGAAGTCACTATATTCTCTATATTCTACAGACTGGTTGTCAGAAGGTTTGAATCTTGCTTAGAATGACAGTTGAGACAGATCACATGATTTTTTTTTTATTGCAACACTCAGTGCTCATGTGACTCTAGCAAAAATAAGATTTTAAGTACAGTAGAATGGCCTACCTCAGTATCTGCACAAGAGAAACAAACAGGGATATGCAATAAAGGCAGCAAAAACCTTGCACTGTATATAACAGACCCGTATGGGATTTTTTTTTCTCAACAAAATTGTGGTTTTATTTTAAAGGGGGGAAAACAACAAAATTAAATGCTTTTTTATTCTTGAGTTACCAGTAAAAATGTCTTTTACTTAACCAATCCCTCCCTTCTACAGGCTCTTTCCATAGTATATGACCGGCTCCAGCAACCTCTTCTGTAAAGTGCTCCAGTGGTCACAGACTTTCTGACATTTTCCCTTACAATGCTGGGTCAATAGCCCTGCATTGTACATGAGAACGCCAGGGGACTGTCCACAACCCATAGAGTAAAGGAGAAGAGTTGAGTAATGTTTTCTGGGAAGAGCAAGAGGTAAGACAAGTAATAAACCTTTTTACTGGTACCCTAGGCATAAGTAAGCAGGAGGAGCCACTGGATTTTAGAGCCCCCCATGTCATTCTACTAGTGATCTGCCCTATAGTGGACCCACCAGCAGTGATGGAAAGACAGATATCCATTCTGTCAGTCTTGTTTTGCAGATTTTATTGACTCAATATCCATGGAAGAGAGAGTTAATGGTTACCAGATATCCAAAAGCTTAGTAGTAAATTCTACTGAATGTATCTTCAGTCCCTCTCACAGGCTAATAATGAACCTTCAAGCCGAGTCTGTAGTTGTGGACCTTTATATCAAGGCAGGTCATTTGTAGTTGTGGATCTGTAATCTGAGACCAGCAATGGACTGGGCAGACATCTTCTAAAGGTGCTCCCTCTTAGTAGCCACCATCCTATATTCCCAGGCCCTAGCATAAGCCAATTTCAAATCCTTGGGCCTTGGCACTATGTCCTGTCCAGGCAGAATTCCTTGGAGACAAAGGGCCTCCTCTCCTGACAGGAGCCCAGGACAAAATACCTGGCCCGAAAAAGTGAAAGACTCAGCTGTAGGGAGACCACAAGCAATACTGGTGATTAATCCACTGGCCCCTGCTCTTGTTTTTTAGCGCACAGCTTCTCCAGTTCAGGTCATCTTTAAAGTGATACTAAAGCCTTTATTTTCACTCAAGGAAGCCCAGGCATATACATTGTATCGCTGACCCCCACCACCCCACTCCTGTTTGTTGGTTTCTCCTTTAGGTCGTGGATTGTAAAGGAGACACCCATGTGTGTACACTTTTGGCTGGGGTTCTGTGCATGCATTCAGACACACAGCACCCACCAAGCCATGGTCCTACTCCATCCTCCCATCTCCTGTCAGATATTGCTCCCCTACCGTCACCTCTCCTCTGTAAACAGAAAGTTTGGGGAGGGGTGTGGCTTGTAGAGGATCTGGTTGGAGACAACAGGTAAGTGTTGGGAATGGGATGGGAGGGAGGAGTTATCACTAGTATTGGGGATTTTATTACCTTAATGTTGTGAATGCATTAAGGTAAAAATTTTCAGCCTTCATTACTGCTTTAAAAAATGAAAACCATGCATCTGATACTTTTATTGGGCAAAATATAAAATAACTAATCCATGCAAAAAAACTTTAGTGAATTAAAAAATATTTTTTTGAGAAAAATAGAGAATCAATCTATCCAAAATCGACCTGATAATATTTCCACTCCTACGTGCCTCTTCTTCCCCTGACTTCTGTCAAGATTGAAGGCACAACTATCAACCAGTCCCGCATGTCAAAGTGCTAGGTGTAATCCTAGACTCTGAACTATCCTTTCAGCCCCACATCCAATCCCTGTCCAAAGCTTGCTGCCTCAGCCTACGAAACATCTCCAAAATACGCCCCTTCCTAACCAAAGACAACGCAAAGCTTCTAATTTACTCCCTGGTCATCTCTCACCTGGACTGCTGCAACTCCCTCCTCTATTGGATTACCTTTATATAGGTTATCCCTTCTTCAGTCTATCATGAATGCTGCTGTCCAACTCATCCACCTTACCAACTGCTCAGCGTCTGCTACTTCTCTTTGCCAATCCCTCCACTGGCTTCCGCTTTCCCACAAATTCAATTCAAAATACTAACTAACTTATAAAGCCATCCACAACTCAGCCCCCAGCTACATTACTACCCTAGTCTCAAAATACCAACAAAATCATTCTATTCATTCCTCCCAAAACCTCCTGCTCTCTAGCTCCCTTGTTACTTCCTCCCATGCTCACCTCCAGGACTTTTCCCAAGTCTCTTCCATCTTATGGAATTCCCTACCCCAACCTGTCCGACTGTTTCCTACTCTGTCTACATTTTGATGATCCCTGAAAACCCATCTCTTCAGACAAGCCTATCCTACCCCTACTTAATATCTTTACTTTATTTTCTTCATCAGCTCATCCCCCAGTTATTAGCTTTTGTATTAATCGACCCTCCCTTTTAGATTGTAAGCTCTAAGGAGCAGGGCCCTCTGTTTCCTACTGTATTAAATTGTATTGTAATTGTACTGTCTCCCTTTATATTGTAAAGCACTGAGCAAACTGTTGGCGCTATATAAATCCTGTATAATAATAATAATTAAAAAAATAAAAATAAAATAGAGAATAACTCATTAAATGAAAACAATGCATGCTTTATACTTATGACATAATTAAGATGGTTGTTGTCTTATTTGCAGGAAAGAAACAACAAATGTATGATTCTATCAAGATTAGCAATTGCTATTTTTACTGACCAAGCAGTGTTAATAGCAGAAACTACAATTCCTAGCTTTACAAAGCCTCTACTGTGCCCAGGAGCACACAAATCTTTACAGGTAGCTGACAATTACATGGTCCACATCCCATGAGGCAATGTGAATGACCTAGTGAACATTCAAAAGGTGTCTGCATTGCATAGAGGCATGTGATAAGGGCGTGGCTATGTTAAAGTTTCTGAAAAGCATAAAGAAGAATTCCAGGTATGGAAATTTTTACACAGGTTGGACCAATGTAACTTTGTGTATACCATACCTATGGGATCCCTATAAAAGCTGGAAATTACTGTACCTGGCACCCCTGCTCCAGTGATCTCCACTGGCATCTGGGTCCATGCCCTGGGTCCACAACCTGCTGTATTATGAATATGGGAGGCTGGCCATTCAGAGGACATATTGCATTTTCTGAAAGAATGAAAAGCATTATCTGATTGGACAAGGTGGAGAGTGTGACATCACACCCCAACTCATCCAATCAAAGAACACTTTGCATTCATTAAGAAAATGCAAATCGATCTCTGAATGGCACCTGTGCCAAAAGGCCGACCTTCTGTGCTCACAATGCAGCAGGGCAGCCACTCAGCACAGGACATGGAAGCAAATGGAAATCACTGGAGTAGCGGTATCTGCTACAGTGATGTCCAGCTTCCATGGGGATCTCACATGTATAGTATACACATAGATACATTCGTCCAAGCTGGACCAATGTAACAATGTAAAAAAATATCCATAACATAAACCTGGAACTCTTCTTCAAATCTGCACACAAGGCATTGCTTTACTAAACCATATGTATATATGCTGTTGCATCGAAGCATCCATAGAGAAGGCCAGATAACCAGACTGTGTGTTTGTGATGCATGTGAACACCACACATTTATTATAGTGTACATATGGTGAGTTCCCTAAAAAAAAAAAAAAAAAATTGGTTTGGTAAGCAATGTAGAAACATGTGCCAGCTAAATACTGGTGTGGATAAAAGAAAAATTGAATTATTTTCTTATTATGGGAGCTATATAACATCTGTTAGCTAGTTTGCAAGTTCAATACTGCCTAAAATGTACATTGATAACATTAAGGCTAGGATCACACCTATACAGTTTGCGTTTGATCCATTTCTGAGGTGCTTTTTGCGGTGTCTTTGGCATTTTTGAAGCTTTTTTTTTTTTATTTTATTGCTGGGCAGAATAAAATGCAAAATGCATCAAAAATACATAAATAAACGCACTACATTCTTTTTTGCAGCGTCTCTATTGAAGTCTATAGAAACAAAAACGCAACGTTTTGTGTTTACAAAAGTCCCTGACCCTTTCCAAAAATCACAGCGGAAAATGCATAGGTGTGAACCTAGACTAAAGGTGAAAAATGGCATAATCCATGCTGTGAGGGGGAACTTCAGTATGCATGTAACATAGTACACGTAGATGTAAGTTAGTGCACATAGATGTAACAGTGCACATATGTAATGTAGTGCAAATGTGTAGAACTGCAGGCTCTGAACATGGCAAATGGGTGTACTCCAGGGGCGGACTGACCATTTGGAAACTCGGGAACTGCCCGAGAGCCCGGGGTCAGTAGGGGGCCCCATGAGATGCCCCTGGTACCTTTTTCATAGGCTTTTTTGAGTTTGGGCAAGGACACAGGGGCCCCATGATCCCATATTGCCCGGGGGCCCCATGAGTTGTCAGCCCGCCCCTGGTGTACTCAATTTCATTTTCTGCTGCTTAGGAATGGAGGTTCCAGTTTTTTATTTGCGTGACGTATTGGTCTATTGGAACTTTTTGTCTGTGTGGGGCATCCATATTTCATACTTTAGTGAGCAATTATGTCGCTGGCCACACTAATTTTTTGTGCTTTCAATTTATAGTAGAATCTTAAATCACCAGTGCACTTTATTGGATTAGAAGGCACAAAAACAGCATATGGGGATATTTGATGTCGCAAAGTAATCTGTAATCATTGTACATTGGTGTACACCTCAGCAGATCATAAAAGGGGACAGCAATTGGTAGGTGTTTGTTCATCTAAATGATCTTATGAACCCACATTGCAATTCTGCCAATTATCTTCATAGTGACCTCCCATATGGAAGAAAAATACATTTGAAATATATTATACAAATATTATTCCCAAATATATTGACATACTGTATATTTGAAATGCTACAATTTTGGCCATTTTCAATAATTAAAAAAAAAAATTATTTATATATATACAGGAGATGACCAGAGAGTACGGACACAGTACAGGAGATGACCAGAGAGTGCAGACACAGTACAGGAGATGACCAGAGAGTGCGGTAACAGTACAGGAGATGACCAGAGACTGCGGACACAGTACAGGGGATGACCAGAGACTGCGGTAACAGTACAGGAGATGACCAGAGACTGCGGACACAGTACAGGGGATGACCAGAGACTGCGGTAACAGTACAGGGGATGACCAGAGACTGCGGTAACAGTACAGGGGATGACCAGAGACTGCGGACATAGTACAGGAGATGACCAGAGACTGCGGTAACAGTACAGGGGATGACCAGAGACTGCGGTAACAGTACAGGGGATGACCAGAGACTGCGGGTAACAGTACAGGGGATGACCAGAGACTGCGGACATAGTACAGGAGATGACCAGAGACTGCGGACATAGTACAGGGGATGACCAGAGACTGCGGACATAGTACAGGGGATGACCAGAGACTGCGGACATAGTACAGGGGATGACCAGAGACTGCGGACATAGTACAGGGGATGACCAGAGACTGCGGACATAGTACAGGGGATGACCAGAAACTGCGGACATAGTACAGGGGATGACCAGAAACTGCAGACATAGTAAAGGAGATGACCAGAGACTGCAGACATACACGGTACAGGAGATGACCAGAGACTGCAGACATACACGGTACAGGAGATGACCAGAGACTGCGGACACGGTACAGGAGATGACCAGAGACTGCGGACACAGTACAGGAGATGACAGAGACTGCGGACACAGTACAGGAGATGACCAGAGACTGCAGACACAGTACAGGGAGATGACCAGAGACTGCAGACACAGTACAGGGGATGACCAGAGACTGCGGACACAGTACAGGGGATGACCAGAGACTGCGGACAGTATAGGGGATGACCAGAGACTGCGGACACAGTACAGGAGATGACCAGAGACTGCGGACAGTATAGGGGATGACCAGAGACTGCGGACAGTATAGGGGATGAACAGAGACTGCGGACAGTACAGGGGATGACCAGAGACTGCGGGACAGTACAGGGGATGACCAGAGACTGCAAACACAGTACAAGAGATGACCAGAGACTGCGGACACAGTACAGGAGATGACCAGAGACTGCGGACACAGTACAGGAGATGACCAGAGACTGCGGACACAATACAGGCGATGACCAGAGACTGTGGACAGTATAGGGGATGACCAGAGACTGCGGACACAGTACAGGAGATGACCAGAGACTGCGGACAGTATAGGGGGACGACCAGAGACTGCGGACAGTATAGGGGACGACCAGAGACTGCGGACAGTATAGGGGACGACCAGAGACTGCGGACAGTATAGGGGATGACCAGAGACTGCGGACAGTACAGGGGATGACCAGAAACTGCGGACATAGTACAGGGGATGACCAGAAACTGCGGACATAGTAAAGGAGATGACCAGAAACTGCAGACATAGTAAAGGAGATGACCAGAGACTGCAGACATAGTACAGGAGATGACCAGAGACTGCGGACACAGTACAGGAGATGACCAGAGACTGCGGACACAGTACAGGAGATGACCAGAGACTGCGCAAACACAGTACAGGGGATGACCAGAGACTGCGGACAGTATAGGGGATGACCAGAGACTGTGGACACAGTACAGGAGATGACCAGAGACTGCGGACAGTATAGGGGATGACCAGAGACTGCGGACAGTATAGGGGATGACCAGAGACTGCGGACAGTACAGGGGATGACCAGAGACTGCGGACAGTATAGGGGATGACCAGAGACTGTGGACAGTATAGGGGATGACCAGAGACTACGAACACAGTACAAGAGATGACCAGAGACTGCGGACAGTATAGGGGATGACCAGAGACTGCGGACAGTACAGGGGATGACCAGAGACTGCGGACAGTACAGGGGATGACCAGAGACTGCGGACAGTACAGGGGATGACCAGAGACTGCGGACAGTACAGGGGATGACCAGAGACTGCGGACAGTACAGGGGATGACCAGAGACTGCGGACAGTACAGGGGATGACCAGAGACTGCGGACAGTATAGGGGATGACCAGAGACTGCGAACACAGTACAGGAGATGACCAGAGACTGCGGACAGTATAGGGGATGACCAGAGACTGCGGACAGTACAGGGGATGACCAGAGACTGCGGACAGTACAGGGGATGACCAGAGACTGCGGACAGTACAGGGGATGACCAAGAGACTGCGGACAGGGTGCAGGGATGACCAGAGACTGCGGACAGGGTGCAGGGATGACCAGAGACTGCAGACAGTACAGGGGATTACTAAGAGACTGCTGACTTTTGGGGAGGGAGGGGGAGCGGGTACCTGAATTTGACAGGTACCCGCTCCCACTTCCGCGGAGTTGTCCTCGCTTTAGTGTGGGCATCCGGCTGACAGTCGGGTGCCCACTGCGCATGCGCGAGAAGCGCTGCGCTTTGTGATTGGTCCGGCATCTTCTGGGACCTGTCATGTGTCCCAGAAGATGCTGTACCATTCACAAAGTGCAGCGCTTCTCGCGCATGCGCAGTGGGCACCGGCTGTCACAGCTGAGAGCCCACGCTAACGAAGCCGGCGCGGGAAGACTGTGCAGTGCTGGACCGAGGAACAGCTAAGGTCCTGCTGTACAGAGGAGCACACACCAGAGACTGCGGACATAGTACAGGGGATGACCAGAGACTGCGGACATAGTACAGGGGATGACCAGAGACTGCGGACATAGTACAGGGGATGACGAGAGACTGCGGACATAGTACAGGGGATGACCAGAAACTGCGGACATAGTACAGGGGATGACCAGAAACTGCAGACATAGTAAAGGAGATGACCAGAGACTGCAGACATACACGGTACAGGAGATGACCAGAGACTGCAGACATACACGGTACAGGAGATGACCAGAGACTGCGGACACGGTACAGGAGATGACCAGAGACTGCAGACACGGTACAGGAGATGACCAGAGACTGCGGACACAGTCCAGGAGATGACCAGAGACTGCGGACACAGTACAGGAGATGACCAGAGACTGCGGACACAGTACAGGAGATGACCAGAGACTGCAGACACAGTACAGGAGATGACCAGAGACTGCGGACACAGTACAGGGGATGACCAGAGACTGCGGACAGTATAGGGGATGACCAGAGACTGCTGACAGTACAGGGGATGACCAGAGACTGCGGACAGTACAGGGGATGACCAGAGACTGCAAACACAGTACAAGAGATGACCAGAGACTGCGGACACAGTACAGGAGATGACCAGAGACTGCGGACACAGTACAGGAGATGACCAGAGACTGCGGACACAGTACAGGAGATGAACAGAGACTGCGGACACAGTACAGGAGATGACCAGAGACTGCGGACACAATACAGGCGACCAGAGACTGTGACCAGAGACTGTGGACAGTATAGGGGATGACCAGAGACTGCGGACAGTATAGGGGACGACCAGAGACTGCGGACAGTATAGGGGACGACCAGAGACTGCGGACAGTATAGGGGACGACCAGAGACTGCGGACAGTATAGGGGATGACCAGAGACTGCGGACAGTACAGGGGATGACCAGAAACTGCGGACATAGTACAGGGGATGACCAGAAACTGCGGACATAGTAAAGGAGATGACCAGAAACTGCAGACATAGTAAAGGAGATGACCAGAGACTGCAGACACAGTACAGGAGATGACCAGAGACTGCGGACACAGTACAGGAGATGACCAGAGACTGCGGACACAGTACAGGAGATGACCAGAGACTGCGGACACAGTACAGGAGATGACCAGAGACTGCGGACACAGTACAGGAGATGACCAGAGACTGCGGACACAGTACAGGGGATGACCAGAGACTGCGGACAGTATAGGGGATGACCAGAGACTGTGGACACAGTACAGGAGATGACCAGAGACTGCGGACAGTATAGGGGATGACCAGAGACTGCGGACAGTATAGGGGATGACCAGAGACTGCGGACAGTACAGGGGATGACCAGAGACTGCGGACAGTATAGGGGATGACCAGAGACTGTGGACAGTATAGGGGATGACCAGAGACTACGAACACAGTACAAGAGATGACCAGAGACTGCGGACAGTATAGGGGATGACCAGAGACTGCGGACAGTACAGGGGATGACCAGAGACTGCGGACAGTACAGGGGATGACCAGAGACTGCGGACAGTACAGGGGATGACCAGAGACTGCGGACAGTACAGGGGATGACCAGAGACTGCGGACAGTACAGGGGATGACCAGAGACTGCGAACACAGTACAGGAGATGACCAGAGACTGCAGACAGTATAGGGGATGACCAGAGACTGCGGACAGTGCAGGGGATGACCAGAGACTGCGGACAGTACAGGGGATGACCAGAGACTGCGGACAGTACAGGGGATGACCAAGAGACTGCGGAC